ATTTTGCCACGAAAATCAATAACGTGAACAATAATAATATCTTTTTAAATTATTATTATTAATTTATACTTTTTTTTTAGAATGAACGAAGTCACCAGAAAACGGAAGTAGCTAGATTGAATCTGACTGGTGAACTACCTGAAGTCACACCACCAAAGTTTAGCTGGAGACTGCTGGAGGAGTCGGTCTCTCTCTTTTAGTAGTTTTTGTGTCTTCTTAGAGTTCGTAATTTTGTATGGTAAAAAAGCAGTGTCGAATCTATAACATTTTCTAATTAAAATCAAGATCCAGATGTCAATGAAGTGCCGCCAAAATTAAATACGTTTTTGTCAGTCACGCTATACGTTGTTGTTGCAATGACTGACATAAAAGTTACGCCACTGGGTAAGTGCGGTAAAATTGAAGATTATAGCAGAGACTACCTGTCGGGAATACTTTTTTTGGCACTAAAAACTGTCACGAACTAGATCTAGATTTAGATCTAGATCTAGATCTAATTTATATTATTTTTGTGACTACCTGAGTAGATCTAGATCTAGATCTAGATCTAGATCTAGAAATCTAGACTCATGTCTAGTGGTGGCCTGCTAATGTTCAAAGAGGCCAAGTTTGCTATTGAATTTAGTTTGGGAGCGTATACAGACCCGGTAACCGGGAACAAAGTCACAAATTGTACAGACCCGGTTGGGGAACTCTTTTGTGATTTCGGAGAGTTATAGCGCCCTCTTGGCTCAGGGTTGACCTAGGTTCTTCTACTTCTAGATATCTATGGCCTAGGTCTAGATCTAGATCTAGGCAGACAGACATAAATCTTTGATCTAGTTTCGCGGCTCCGGCTAGCCTAGATCTATATCGAGATCTAGATTGCGGATGTCTTTTTGATGAACGATTGTTTTTCCTCCGTTTTGGAGTTGGAGGAATCGCAATTTGAAGAGAAGAACAATGTCATAATTTCAATCGAGCAGCCACCCTATCTATTTCTCTGCCTCTCTCTCTCTCTCCTCTGTGTATCGCTCGCCTTTTCTTTTTCTTTGCTTGTCTCTGTCTTTCTTTGTCCCCACCTTTTTTTCACTCTATCTTTCTCTCGTTCCCTCCTGCCAACTGGGGCATTTCATACATTTTGCTAGCACCTCTCTCTCTCTCTCTCTCTCTCGATCTCTCTCTCTCACACACACACACACACACACATACTAGATTTCTACCGGGTCTGGAGGCTGAAACTTTCCGAAATCACAAAAGAGTTTCCCTACCGCGTCTGTATACTTCGAGACTTTGTTCCCGGTTACCGGGTCTGTATACACTTAGATTTAGATTAGATTTCTAGATCTATTCGGACTAGCCACACCTCTATTCTCACCCGGTGAGCGCTCACCGTGATAGGCCTAGTGTCGGCCTAGCATTCACCGTGAACAAACATTCCAGCGCTCTTGTGTTGAAAGCGTGCAATTTTGTCTGTGGGCAGTGAGAGAAAACGAGACGGGGGGGGGGGGGGGGGGGAGAGATAGGCTAAGAGGAGTAGCCTAGCGCGATAACTTTCGGGCAAAATGAAATGACGACCCGCATAGTTGGGCTCAATTCGAAAAGTGAAAAGCCGTAGCATCTTTGTAGACGACCAAATTAGTTTAAACTTTTGTGCTATAACATTAGGCCTATTTTTTCTTTGTTTTTTGTCAATTTGATAATCCACACCGATGGACAGTTGAGGAAAAAACAGGTCTTGTTTCACACCGGATGAGGATAGCCAGCGCTGGGAAGTCTCACCGTGGGTGAGAGTGAGAGGTCGATCGTATTTTTATTCTCACCCGAGGTGAGACAAAAATTATATTCGGACTCTGAATTGAGTCCAGCATGATGTCCGTTCCGACTTCCGACCCATATTCCTAAATATTTCCGGTATTTATGAAAATTTTTCTATTACGAAATGTGAACTTTAACATCCAGTTACACTAGAATCTAGATCTGTATAAGTTAACTGGCCCTCCCTGCATTATTAGTATGAACAGAACAACCAAATTGAGTTGACCTTGCTTGGGGGGCAAAGTTTATTATGTCAACCAATGAGACTGCGCGTAGCGATCACACACTCTCGGCTTGCTGGGGGAAGAGGTGTTGGGAAGAGGCCACGGCTGTGCGACGTGATTTTAAGAAAATAATTACAGAAAAACTTGACTTATAACACACAAAAAAATTAAATTAAACATGTGTGGCAAGACAAATCATCAAATGGTGGTGGAATTAATGATGATGCTGTAGTTGTGGCGGAAAGACCCTGAGTTGTCAGTTACCGTGTACTTAGTAACTGCCATTGGGCAATGGGAGTGCAGTCTTTTGACTTTTGACACAATTACACAGAGACCTAGTAGATAATTCTAGTTCTAATTCTGGTTTTTGGTAAAATCCCTTGACGACAGTTATATATTTTAAATGTAAACTCCTTACACTCACATAACTCACTTAGAAGCCGTGCCCGAATAATTAAAACATTTTTTTCGGACCGAGTACGAATAGATAAAACCCATTATATTTGGTCTCAGGTAAAAAATCTAATCGGACTCGAGTCCGAATAGAGCTGGCCTATCTAGCAGTAGGCCTATAGGTTTAAGTTTAATAACACTAGTGGCACCCTCCAGCAATCCTAGTGGGTGGTTGGCGGTTGCTCTGGTGTGGTTTGCTTCTTCTTTCCTATCGAACATCTATCGTCCTTCTCTCCCCTTCTTCTTTTTTATGTTTGTTACTCTCTTGTAACATCTCTAAACTTCTGGCGCTCATATGACCTTATGCAGTTGCGAGCGCCGTAAAACCTCTATAAAACGAATTCCCTGTCAGTACAATATCTCTATTAATTGGGACTTAGAACTTCCATTGTGTCTCAGACATAGAACTTTGGGCCTATTCCGTAATGTTATAGTGACCTTTCAAACTGGAAAGTCACAATATTTAAATAGAACAAAATATAGTATGAAAAATTAATCAAATTTTAGAGAGGGGAGAGTACATCATATTAAATCATTATTATGGATGTGCTGCATTGTTCATTCTCTACCCCAATTTAACCCTATCCGTACGCCCACGAGGTCATTTTGTACCCCCGGGTTGTATTCTTCACATTTTAGAAATCTTCTAGTACGAAAACCTCTTTGAAACTTTCAGTATTTCTCAAAAAATCATTTGGACAGATTGCTATGCAAAGTGTACGAATCTCATTAACAAGTAAATTTCCTCTTTGATAGTGGTGGCACAGAGTTCCCCACATCGTGTGGATACGATAGCAAAACACGACGCACGGATAGGGTTAATGAAACCATGCTCTGCTTTCTCTTGAAGTCTATTATGGATCCCAGAAAGGTCACATTCAACATTGTGTCATTTTGTAAAGATTAAACAAACGTTTTAGACTTTCTCTTCAATGATAGAATTTTTATAAATTATAGCCTCTATAATAAAATTAAATGATTGATCTTTTTTTCTTCTTCTTTTCCAGGTGCTGGTCAAGGTAGGCTTTAGAATGGTAGTTTGGATGGTTATCAAGAGAGAAACAATTTTGTGTTTTGTGGCTGCTATGAGGGTTCAGCCCCACCCCACCCCCACCCTTTACATGCATGCACACCCACACACACTCACATAAACACACACTCAGTAACTAAGCACATTTAAAACGTGCAACTAAGACACCTTGAAATGTGCCTGAAGGGCTTCAACATTAACCACTTGACATAGGAGAGACCCAGTTGGAGAGCAGCAAGTCGTATGAGGCTTCACCAATTAGAAATGCTGAATCCAAGAGAGAAGCCCTCAAGCTGAGCACATCCACAAGTTGGAAATGAAGTTTTTAGATATTATCATATGATCGCCCACGCCAGTCAGCAAGGCGCCGGATGATGATGATGATATGCTCAAAATGTGACACCCTTTTCTCTACCAGAATTGGTCTCACTGGCTGTAGCTCAGAGCAACAACAAGTCATCTCTTACTCCTTTAAATTGTTCCTTCAATTTCTTTTATTTTGTATTTTGTGGCTGTTATGAGTTCATTCAGACCCCCTCCCCTTACTCTAATTACACTTGCACACAAACACCCGCAATTTCACTTGAGTAATTTTCTACATAGATGCACGGACATTGTCAGACATTTACGAATGAACTTTTGCAATAATCACTAGATGCTACTGTCCTAACTATTAAGTCTCTGATGTAAGAAGTTATGTACTCTTCTTACAAATTATGATTTAATGTGAATTGTTGTTCTCATTTGAAGACTTCCACTGACTTCCACATTTTGCTGGTAATTTCTGCTTACATTTTTTATTAGATTGGATTGTAGACCTCTACTTGGATGCACATTTGAATTATAATATTTGAACAACACATTGCAGGTGGTTGGAGGGCACCACTGGTAGGTCCTAACTCTTTACTTCCCTAAACTGTCGTTTCTGTCTGTCTGTTTTACTTTTACCCAGTATTAAATAATCATACTTGTGTCTATGTGCTTCTCGCTACTCAAAACTCAAATGGTGGGTGGTTGGCGGATGCTCTGGTGTGGTTTGCTTCGATTCTTTCCTATCAAACATCTATCGTCCTTATTTCCCCTTCTTCTTTTTCATGTTTGTTACTCTCTTGTAACACCTCTAATCTTCGGGTGCTCATATAACCTTATGCAGTTGCGAGCGCCTTAAAACCCTCTACTAAAAAATGAACATTTTGCAGATGTGGGCAGGAGCTGCATCCTTCTCAGTATTGGAGGAAAAAATGTCATGTTGGACTGTGGGATGCATATGGGCTACAATGATGATGTAAGTCTTCGTCTGTCTCATCTCTCTCTCTGTTCTCTCTTTCTCAGTCTCTCTCCATATGTTGTCTCTCCCTGTTTCTCTCTTTCTCCATCTTTTTCGGTCTCTCTCTATATCTTGTCCCTCTCTGTCTCTCTCTTTTTGTCTCTCTGTTTTTCAGTCTCTCTCTCTCTCTCTCTCTCTCTCTCTCTCTCTCTCTCCCTCTCTCTCTCGCTTTCTCATACGCGCAGTCAGTAATAGATTTTTTTTTTAAGCTTTTTTCAAAATATAAGGTTGTCTTCCCGAGCCAGACGTGGACTGGCGTAAATTCAGAAGATAATTATGTTCTTGGGTGCATGGTATCACACTGTTCTGTATTGGGCTGATGTGTGATTGTGCACATCTGTGTAAGTGTTGTCAGTTTACTGCCTGGGAGACTGAGACTAAGACTAGGTGATAATTGTGATAGGCCGTCCCCCTGGTTTTATGCACCCCGCATAGTTTAGCAAAATTTGATCATTTTTTGCATAATTCTGACTATTTTCCCTTTTCAATCTTTGTTAAAAGTTACAAAATGTCATAATTTCACATGTTTGGGCTCGGTTTGCGTAATTTCAGAATTTTTCTTGCATAAAACGACGGGTCAGGATAGGGCTTCTGTCCATCTGAGGGAGTTCATTTTCATGTGTCGATTTGCTTCTCTGTACTCAAAACTCGGTCTGCTTTGCCCAGGGTTTTTTTTAATGCTTAGGGAAGAATAAATATTGTGAGAATAATGTGTTTAATTGCAGCATAAAAGTAATTCTTATTTTGTTTGTGACCTTGAATTTGCAGAGGAGATTTCCTGACTTCACGTACGTAGCACGAGAAGGCCGGCTCACAGACAGAATCAACTGCCTCATAATAAGGTATCGGTTCTCAGTAGCGGGTTTTTTGAGTTTGTGAAAGAGTATCAGTTGTCACACTGTTTTTTGAGTTTGTAAAAGGATATCAGCCTGTATGTGTGCTGCAAGGTGCATCAGCTGTATGGCTGACTGTGTGTGTGTGTGTGTGTATGTGTGTGTGTGTGTGTGTGCAAGGTGCATCAGCTGTATGGCTGACTGTGTGTGTGTGTGCGCGTGTGTGTGTATGTGTGTGTGTGTGTGCAAGGTGCAGGAACCGTATGGCTCACTGTTTGTATGAGTGCGCCCGTGTGTATTGTGTGTGTGAGTGCGCGTGTGTGTGCATGTGCTTTGTACAGGAAATGTTCAGCTAGCTGTTCTCGAGCAAGGGTTTTCAGGTCTTGCCCTACGACCACGCTCAGTCTCCATCCTAAAACACACCATGTCCCTGACATTGTTTCAAGTCTGAGCTAATGAACCATATGAGTGGGTGGTTGGCGGGTGCTCTCGTGTGATTTGCTCTTTCTTTCCTGTCAAAGGTTTCTCATCCTGATCTGTTGTCCTCCTTTCTTTTCAAACATCTATTAATTGTACTGATCTCTCTATTGCTTTTGTGTATGTTACTCTCTTGTAACACCTCTAGTCTTCAGCACTTATATGACCTTATTGTGTTGGAAGTACAGTAAAACTTTGTAACTGAAGCTAAATTAAACTGACCGCATGAGTATCCTACAGAAATCAAAGGGTTAATTTGTGGAAACTGTTGTTATTTGTATGAGAATGGCAAAGGTTGAAATGAGATAAATATAAATACATTTCATGTATACTGTACAATGACTTTTGTGTTATTGTTATTTTTGCAAGGAATGTGGTCAAAGTAAGCTATATAGACCTATATTTTTTTACTTTAAAAAATAATTATTTTTTTTAATTTAAAAAAATCTTTTTTTTTACAATGATTTTGTCATTATAATTATTTTTTACATGACTCATGACAATTATCCTGGATGCAGAAACAGGATTACTATGAATTTATTCACAAGAAATAATCTGTGTGTTTGTGTGGTAGCCACTTCCACCTGGATCATTGCGGAGCCCTGCCCTACATGACGGAGATGGTGGGCTACGATGGGCCCATCTACATGACGCATCCAACCAAGGCCATCTGCCCCATCCTTCTGGTCTGTTGGATTTTTTTAATTAATTGATGTAAGGGGCGCCACGCCTCTTTTTCATCATTTTGTTGAATTTGTATCATATTCATCAGCGTTCGATTCTGATCCGAATGAATGGTTGGTGGGTTCTCTGGTGTGGTTTGCTCCTTCTTTCTTATCAAACATCTATTGTCCTGATCTCTTCTCCTTCTTTTTTGTGTTTGTTACTCTCTTGTACCACCTCTAATCTTCGGCTCTTATATGACCATATTGTGTTGCAAGTGCCGTAATACTCTTACTAACATTTTTTTTTTTTTAAATCTTATCCGACTCTAACCGTACCTGGAATACCTGCAAGTGTCATCTGTGACTCAGAGGTTGATGTGTAATGACCCTTCACCCTCTGGGGTGCCAAATTACGTCAAACACTTTAAAAAAAAAAAAAAAGATATATATATTACTTTCTTGTTATCTTCCCTTATTGCTCAAAAGTATGTGTAGAGTTGTCTTTTTACATATAATGATATGTGTGTCGCCAGTTGGTGAATTACGGTTGTGAAGAACATTATTTCAGTTAGAATAACAAGATATAATTTCTTTCCTATTGAAGAAGGTGGGTCACCCCTTTTCGGAGATGAAATTAGTCAGAAAATGGCGCTGAAGTCTGGCAACTTTAATAGCTTGATAGTCCTTGAAAACTGAAAATTTACATATTTTGTGCCATTAATCAACCATTTTCAGTAAAATCCACAAGGAAATGTTTTGTTATACGGACATAGAAGGTGGTGAGTCCAAAAAAAAAAATTTGATGAAAATTTCCAAACTGGCGGAAAAGTGCCTATTTCTTCGATTGTATTATTTTGACGAGCGCGTGATCTCACCTCGTTTCTTCGCTTATTTCTCCCCATAGAGTGAATGGTTCTCTCAACACAACATGATGGCTTTCTGTGTGTGAAAAGTTTGATGCCATGTAAGAAAAATGTGTCAGTTTTTATGATGTGTCAGTTTTTTTGACTCATCATATTTTCTGAGGGTGAATAAAATGAGAATTTTTGTTAGTAAACTTGTTTTGTTTTTATTTTTGCCCATTCATATTTCAGGAGGATTACAGAAAAATCAACGTGGAGAGAAAAGGTGACACCAACTTTTTCACATCGGAGATGATCAAAGCCTGCATGAAGAAAGTCGTGACGGTCAACCTGCATCAGGTCATACAGGTAGGAGGATCTTAACGTGTCACGAGAAGGTAGCATCAGGTCATACAGGTAGGAGGATCTTAACGTGTCACGAGAAGGTAGCATCAGGTCATACAGGTAGGAGGATCTTAACGTGTCACGAGAAGGTAGCATCAGGTCATACAGGTAGGAGGATCTTAACGTGTCACGAGAAGGTAGCATCAGGTCATACAGGTAGGAGGATCTTAACCCTTCCAGCCCCAGCCATTTTTGTGCACTCTCTGACCCCAGTCCCAGACAATACAGCAGTACTTCAGAAAAGAGGCATGCATGCTAAATGTGATGTAGTATCTTTGTAATGAGGTTTAGATAATAACGTATAACAATGTTTAAAGGTAAATGAACAAATATTGTGAAAATTAGAGTTTAATTAGGTTCCCTAATTTCGAAAAATGTTCAAATTCGGTACCCCCCGAAACTGAGAATATACGCTCTTGGGAGGATGAGAGGTACAAGCGCTGCTGAAAATATACGCGCTTGGGGCTGGAAGGGTTAACGTGTCACGAGAAGGTAGAATCAGGCGCTCGTCCGTTTTTGGGGCATCTGGATTTATTGGTACGGTATCATCTACGAGCTTGTTCAAATTTGTCTTGCTTTTGATTAAAAACTACCCATCCATCTTGAATAGAAGTTGAGAAATATAAAATGTGTGATTGAAGGAGGTAGGGGGGTTGCCTGGTGTCAGAGGTAAAAATTCCTGCGAAAATGGCGACCAAAGTTTGGGGAATTCCAAAGCGTGAGTGTCCTTGGAAACTACATTGTTTGTACGCTGATCAATATTTTTTTATCAAATCCACCCAGAAAAGTGTATTTAAAATTTATGGACCTAATGGGTTGTGAGAGAAAAAAAATGCAGTAAAATTTGCACAACGGTTGGAGGGTGGAAAAAATGCCGGTTTCTCTTTACTCGAACTCTAATTTTATATTCTGTGGTCAAACTGAATTTTTTTTTTTTTTCTCAAACCGAAACCTGTACTCAAACTTACATTCTCATCAAACTCAAATTCTTTGTCCTGAATCTCAAATTCTCTGTCATCAAATCAAACTCAGATTCTCTGTTCTCATTCCCAAATTCTCTGTCCTCAAATCAAACTCAAATTCTCTATCCTTTAACTCAAATTCCCAGTCCTCCAACTCAAAGCTCAAATTCCCTATCCTCAAACTGAAATAAACTTAAACCCTTTGTCCTCAACTCAAATTCTGTGTTCTTCAACTCAAACTTCAAATTCTCTGTCCACCTACTCAAAACTCGAACAAGCTTGCTTGTAATTGTAAGCTTGCGTGTGTTGTGTGTGCATGTCTGTGTGTATGTGTGTGCATGTCTGTGTGTGTGTGTGTGCATGTCTGTGTGTGTGTGTGTGTGTGTGTGTGTGTGTGTGTGTGTACACGTGGTGAAACACCAAACCAATGTGCCAGGATCTGGACAATAAAGACGTATCTTATCTTATCTTATCTTGTCTTTTATCTGATCTTATCTTGTCTTACCTTATCTGATCTTATATTATCTTGCCTTATCTGATTTTATCTTGTGTTGTCTGATCTTATGTTGTCTTGTCTTATCTTATATTGTCTTATTTTATCTTATCTGATCTTATCTTGTCTTATCCAGTCTTGTCTGGTCTTATTTGATCTGATCTTACCTTGTCTTATCTTATCTGATCTTACCTTATTTTATCTTATTTTGTCTTGTCTTATTTTGTCTTATCTTTTCTTGTCTTATCTTATCTTATCTTATCGTATTCTCCAGGTGGATGAGGAGCTGGAGATCAAAGCCTACTACGCGGGACACGTGCTGGGGGCGGCCATGTTCCAGATCCGCGTGGGACAGAACTCTGTGGTGTACACGGTGAGTAGCCGCCGGCACGCCCTTTTTTTACGCCCCCTTTGACCTCTTTGTTTAACACTGTCCCCACCGGACGCCAATCGGCGACAGTAAGAAGCTGTACCTTTTCCCCACGGGACGCCAATCGGCGACAGTAAGAAGCTGTAGCCTTTCCCCATGGGACGCCAATCGGCGACAGTAAGAAGCTGTACCTTTTCCCCACGGGACGCCAATCGGCGACAGTAAGAAGCTGTACCTTTTCCCCACGGGACGCCAATCGGCGACAGTAAGAAGCTGTACCTTTTCCCCACGGGACGCCAATCGGCGACAGTAAGAAGCTGTAGCCTTTCCCCATGGGACGCGGATCGGCAACGGTAAGAAGCTTTAGCTTTTCCCCATGGGATGCCGATCGGCGACGGTAAGAAGCTTTAGCTTTTCCCCATGGGATGCCGATCGGCGACAGTAAGAAGCTGTAGCTTTTCCCCATGGGACGCGGATCGGCGACAGTAAGAAGCTGTATCTTTTCCCCATGGGACGCGGATCGGCGACAGTAAGAAGCTGTATCTTTTCCCCACGGGATGCCGATCGGCGACGGTGTGATATAGTGTGTACTACATCTGTATCCTGGTCGCTGGGGATAAGTGCTGCGTGCTGTGCGCGCTGCGTGGATGGACTGTGTTCACCCTATTCACCCTGCATGGCGGCAGGCAGTACACTTGTGTTCACCTGGCTTTTCCTCGGGAGCCAGGGGAAAAAATCGGTCTGAACTCGATACACTAACCTTAGAGACGCATTGTGCCCAAACTATATAAGGTATCAATATGAAATTTCGCTTAGATTTTACTTTAGACGTTCTTTTGATATTATTAGGGAGAAAGAGGAAGGAAAGAGCAGAGAAAACAATCTAATTCTTCGTCCAACTGCGACTCATCGGCACTCGATTTACCCATAGCAACTTAAAGTAAAATCTATGGTCTAGATCTAGCTTTTCTTCGAAGTTTTCATGGTACTAAAATTAATCCGAACGCGTTTTTCTAGATTTATGTCTACTTTCATTTTCTTTGCCGCTTATGCCCGAAACAAAACCAAATACCTGGTTCATGTTTTTTAACAAACACAAAAATAGCCCATGGCACAGTTGTGTTTTGTAGTTGTTTCTCTTTCTTCTCGTCTGTGAAGATTTCAGTGCTGGCTTTCTTGCCATGATCTGCGTTGACGAAACAACAAAACTAACTCATGCTTGGCGCAAAACTCGACCTAAATAAGCTAGTGGTAGTTTTTACAAGCTACAAGCAACCTGTTATTTTCAATAGAAATCTGGAAAAGTGGTTCAGACTCCTTTTTATGGGCTGGTATTTTGCTACGACTATTGCCGTATACTCGTAGCACAGATGCAGTGGGTCAAGTTGTAGTAAGTTTTACGGCGCTTGCAACACAATACGTCATATATATATATATATATAAAGTGCGGAAGATTAGAGGTGTTATTAAACATTAAAGAGTAACATACAAATAAAAAGAGGAGAATAGATTTTTGTGAAGAGAGAATGAGCAAACTATACCGAAGAAGACTGATGAGTAACATGTAAATTTATAGAAAGTAAAGAGGAGACGAGATAAGGTTGATAGATTTTTTTTGTAGAAAAGAGTGAGCAAAAACCATACCCGAGCACCTGCAACCACCCACTTTGACCTCTGACCTTGTGAGCTGTGTAGACCCCCTGCACATTTGCTCGTGAGCCCCCAGTGTCTTCATCCTGCTTCCGCAGTATAAGCTCCTTTGCATGGCTATTTATATACATATATTGGACTGTGTCATAACACGATAGAAAAAAAAACTGCAACGTGAGAAGTGGTCATTTGAATAGGAGGCCATCTCGGACAGGTTGCGCTGGAACTGATTCAACTGCACGATAGGCCTATACTTATTGGTACAGTATACCTATCCCCGTAGTTTCATGCACCCTGCATAATTTAGCAAAATTTGATCATTTTTTGCATAATTCCTGATTATTTTCCTTTATCATTCTTTGTTGAAATTAACAGAATCACGTAATTTCACATTCTTAGGCTCAGTTTGCATAATTTCATAATCTTTTTTGCATAAAACGACAAGGACAGGTATACTTATTGGTGAAGCATACTTATTGGTGCAGTATACTTATTGGTGCAGTATACTTATTGGTGCAGTATACTTATTGGTGCAGTATACTTATTGGTACAGTATACTTATTGGTGCAGTATACTTATTTGTACAGTATACTTATTGGTGCAGTATACTTATTGGTGCAGTATACTTATTGGTGCAGTATACTTATTGGTGCACTATACCTATTGGTGCACTATACCTATTGGTGCACTATACTTATTTATGGCGGTGGTCGCCTAGTGGTTAGGCTACCGGACTCCTAATCGTGAGGTTGCGGATTCAGGGGTTCGAACCACGGACCCGGCGTTGTGTCCTTGGGAAAGGCACTTTACACGAATTTTCCTCACTTCACCCAGGTGAAAATGGGTACCCGGCCATAGACAGCGAAAGATCTTGTCAGTATGTTAGTGTTTTAGCGCCTATGAATGGCTGATTGCTCTGTATGCTTCCCAGGAAGTTGATGTTGTTTCAGAATGCTCTCAGGTCTGCTGGGGTAATAGTACTGATTGTGATGCGCATAGAGCTTGCTGTTGAGCGGGGATACGCACTATGCAAATGCTATCTATTATTAGTAGTAGTACAGTATACTTATTGCTAAAGTATACTTATTACTACAGTATACTTATTTCTACAGTACCGTATAGTTATTGGTACTGGTACAGTATACTTATTTCTACAGTACCGTATAGTTATTGGTACTGGTACAGTATACTTATTTCTACAGTACCGTATAGTTATTGGTACTGGTACAGTATACTTATTGGTAGAGGGAGATACATTATAAGTGACCCTTGACTGTCATAATAAATCTATTGGTACGTGAAGACTGCACTATGACCTCTGGTATTTGCCTAAATATGTTGGTTCAGGGCGACTACAAATGTCCTAAGATTTCGATATTAGCATAAATTTGTTGGTATAGGCGACCTCACTATGACCTCGGATATAAGCACACTACGACCTCTGATTTTAGCATAAATGTGTTGGTACAGAGAGACTACACTATGACCTTTGATATTAGCATAAATTTGTTGGTACAGAGAGACTACATCATGACCTCTGATATTAGCATAAATTTTTTGGTACAGAGAGACTACACTATGACCTCTGATATTAGCATAAATGTGTTGGTACAGAGAGACTACACTATGACCTCTGATATTAGCATAAATGTGTTGGTACAGAGAGACTACACTATGACCTCTGATATTAGCATAAATGTGTTGGTACAAAGAGACTACACTATGACCTCTGATATTAGCATAAATTTGTTGGTACAGGGCGACTACAACATGACCCCAGACCGTCACCTGGGGGCAGCGTGGGTGGACAAGTGTCGGCCGGACCTACTGATCACAGAGTCCACGTACGCCACCACCATACGCGACTCTAAAAGGTGTCGGGAGAGGGACTTCCTGCGGAAAGTGCACGACTGTGTGGAGAAGGGAGGCAAGGTGTGTGGGTTGTTGTTTGATTTGTCTGTCTGTCTGTCTGTGTGGGATGTTGTTTGATTTGTCTGTCTGTCTGTGTGGGTTTGGTTGATTTGTCTGTCTGTGTGGATTTGTTTGATTTGTCTGTCTGTCTGTCTGTCTGTCTGTGTGGGTTTGTTTGATTTGTCTGTCTTCTGTGTGGATTTGTTTGATATGTCTGTCTGTCTGTCTGTCTGTCTGTCTGTCTGTCTGTGTGGATTTGTTTGATTTGTCTGTCTGTCTGTCTGTCTGTCTGGGTTTGTTTGATTTGTCTGTCTGTCTGTAGGTTGTTGTTTTTTCTTATTTATCTGTCCGTCTCTGTGTTTGTCTCTTTTTTTTCTGATTTTCTGTCTCTCTGTTGTTGTTTTTTCTGATTTGTCTGTCTGTCTGGATTTTTTTCTGATTTGTCTCCCCATATGTGTGAGTTTTTTTCTGATTTGTCTGCTTGTGTTTGTTTTTTTATTTGATTAGTCTGTCCATCAGTATGTGTTTACATTTGATTTGTATTTGTCTGTGTGTGCTTTTGTTAGATTTATCTGTCTGTTTGCATTTGTCTGTCTGTCTCCCTTTCTGTACTCTCTGTCTGCCCATCTTTTTGTTCTGCCTGTCTATCTGTGTTTCATTCTGCCTGCCTGCCTCCTTGCCTCTTTCTATTCTGTTTGTCTGTCTGTCTACATTTCTGTCTCTTTTACTTTATTTTTCTCTCAATGTTGTACTCTCTCCCTCGCCCTCTCTTTCTCACTCTCTCACTCATTCTTTCTCTCTCTTTCTCTCTCTCTCTCTCTTTGTCTCTCTCTCTCTCTCTCTCTCTCTCTCTCTCTCTCTCACCCTCCCACCCTCTTTCTCTCTCCCTCCCCCCTTTCTCTCTCTCTTTTTCTCT